AGAAGAGGAATTGAGATTGGGTTACTTCCTATATCTTTTCTTCCTCTGTGCAAGAATAAAGTGAAAAGAGTGTTTCAATTGTAATCTATATTCATTACCTTACCTTACAACAAGCATTTATGGAGCATCTACCACGTGCTGGGTATCATGCTGGTGTTCCCACCTTCATGGGGCTGATATGCTCACTGGAGCTTGCTCTCTAGGGCCCCAGGCCCAAGGACTCTCACGTTAGCCATCCAGTCTTGGCCCGTGTACCATTCTTCTCTGGATTTTCTCCAAACCAGGCCCTGGATGCCTCCTCCCTCTCCCTCTTCTTCAGTGTGACTGGGAAACAGTATTCTTCAGTGGCTCTCTTCCTGGCAAAGCTTTCAGCCATATTTTTCCTGTCACTGTCATGTTCATGACCACCTGATGGCTTTCACAGCCTCTCATCCTCTCACCACCTGGCCAGCCCTCCCAGACTCCATAACTGCCTTTCTGACTTCCACAAAGGAGCAGTTGTTCCCAGTGCTGCTGCCACTTCAGCTGGGATCTGCCCAACTTGCCCCACTCCACAGCCCACTTGGACAACAAGTTCCCTCAGTCTTGGAGTTACAGTACCTACTCACCTGCTAATGGCCTCCCTTCTAATGCCATTACCTGGGTGATTAGGTTTTAACATACAAATTTTGGAAGGACACAAACATTCAGATCACAGCACTTGAGTCCTGGATGGACACCATGTGCCATGCACCCCTCTAAGTGTTTAATCCTCAGCACAACCCCCGAGGCAACTCACTATGATTGTCATCTCCAGCTTATGGATGAGGAAAATGAGGCACAGGTATTGTATGCAGTCACAGATGTGAGAGTGGGGCAACCCTGGGGGCAGTGGGTGCTTGTCAGGTTGGATCTGGGTGTGACTCTAGCTCCAGTCTCCCTCCATTCCCAGACGTTTCCAGGCCTTATTCTCTAGCTTTCCTGAAGAGTCTGTGGGCCACCCAGTCTCCTCTCAAAAAGTTTCTTTGCTATTTACACCAGCCAGGTTCTGTTTCTGTTGCTTATAAGAACCATGAGAACACCACAGTCCTGGATGACGTCTCCTAGCTCAGGAGGCACAGGCGCCAGCGGTCTCCACGCCAACCAACATCTGGGAAAAACTCATCTGTAAAGAGCGAGGGCAGGGATAAAGGGGGCCCAAGGCTGCATGTGCAGGGTCCTCTGCCCTCAGAGAACCTGAAGTAGAGAAGGAAAGACTGCATGTTCTGCGTTCACAGAACAGTGCCATGCTAGAGCAGAGGAATAAACAAAAGTCACTTCCATCACACAGGACAAAAGGAATTAAGGAGGTTATATTTGAGCTGGTTTCTAAGAATGGGCATTAGGACAAGCAGGAAAGGAGGGACAGGGATAATAGGAATAAAAACAGTGAAATAAAATACAATGGAAGAAAGAGGAAGGTGTGTTCAGTGAACAAAAGCGGGGTCTCACCTGGGTGGACAGAGGTGGAAAGTGGAAATGAAGGAATAGGTTGAGAGCACAGCATTTTCTTTCACACACATTCACATATTTACAAACACACATGCACAGACCTGCCCATATAGAGAAACATGCACATACATGAGGTGTATGTGTATATGTACTTGTACGTGTGTGTGTATGTGTATAATGTGTGCGTGTATATATATATAAAATTTACAGCACTTTGGTCGAGAAAGTCCTTAAAAGAGTTCAGCTTTATCTGAATTCTCTGCCAGATCATCAGCAGTTCTCACAAAAGCATCCTGCCTCTTGCTTTACTCATAGAGGATATAGAGTCATTTACGGCTCTAAAGGTATCAGCCATTCATCTTCAAAGTCTCTGAAATAGTAAGACTCACGGGCTGGGGATGCCAGAGCAGTCACTCAGCAAACATCTGCTGAAGCAGTTTCATAAAAAAAGCTGCTGCATCAGGCACCCTGAGGGCCCTGAGATGCATTTCTAAAGACTCTATGAATATGCCTCTTTGAGTTCCCATGGGCACAGCTTGCCCACATCACCAACTTCGAAGCTGCAGTCTCTTTCAGTGCTCAAGAGAAAGGCACCTCAGCCAAAGAGGAAAGCGCGAACCTGGCTGAGCTGCCTAGTTGCCAGGCCCGCCCACGGAGGCAGAAAGCAGAGTGTAGAAAACAGAGTTTACCAGCTAGCTTCATCTAGGACTAAAAATGATACCCCAGAACATAGATCACAGAAGCTTCTAGACAAGTATCGAACCACTTTGTATATGCCCACAGAAGTCCAAGCAGCAAGGAGAGAATGACCTCGTATTGGTTTTCTTTGTTGGGGGTAAGATTTCTAACCCAAAAACAGCACAGCCAGTGACCAATCTCCGAGCATTTGTTTTGAGTACATGTCATCAATAACTAGATCTGAGCTGGAGGGCCTTCTAAACATAAAATATATTTCTGCAGCTTGAAAAGAAAGAAAAGGCTGTTAGGAGCTGGTTTGAATTAGGTAGAGTGGAGACAGGAATTTGCCTGAAATCCCTGCCTCTCCTCTGCCCTTGGGCAGTGATTCACTGCCTGGCTGAGACAAGAGAGAACACCTGGCCTGGTCCATGCCCTGCAGCCTGGCTGGGTGACAATGGACTGGGCAGAGGTGATGGGCAGATTCCAGGAGGGCTGCTGAGGATGACTTTGAATATCATTATCTATCTCCCATGGCTCAAGAAATCTGACTATCTCTGAAGATTCTGTCTAGGGATCATTATAAGCATGATTCTATAGCCTGTGTGATCAGTGGTGGTGCAGGTCCCTTACGTGTTACTACCATTAAAGGCACAATTAAGCCTTGAAAGCTAGAGGTGCAATTCAATCTCTATAATGGTGTTAATGGCTCAAGCAACCTTGAAGCAGCTGTCATATTCTAAAAGATCATTCTGAATTGTTTTATGTCTGAAATTGCTCTGTAAAATCGTGTTAATTTTTCATCTTCAATTGGGAATATATTTAATGCCAAGAAGATGGCTTTCTTCTGGCCACATTGCACAAAAAGGGACAGTTTCATTTAGGATTTCATCTGCTGACAGGATCATTCTGGAGAACTAAACTCCACTGAATGAAGCTGAGCTCAGCCGTCTACGTCTTGGTTCCATTTGTTTCTAAGGAAGAGTCCAAAGTAAAGAGTAGGGTAGAGGATATGGCCCAGTCCAGAGCCCTCTGGGATTTATTTAGATTGGCATCTAAATAAATATTTAGATTTTCTCTAAGAGGAAAAAAGAAAAAAAGATGAACTGTGGTCCTGCCCACGTGAACAAGTAGACAGGTCCCATCCTTGGCACTCCCACTGCCCCCTAGCTGTCCACACTACGGCCAATATGTGATACACTGTGTTCTAATTATCTCATTATTTGTCTGTTCCCCAAATGAACTGTGAACCCCTTGAGGGAGGGGTTGCATCTGATTCACCTCAGTATCCCCAGTAACTATCAGAACAGTTAATGAATGGGGTACTGCCTCCACTGACTCATGAGGATGGATAACAGGTAAACCAGGGAAAGGAGACATTAGGTATCCAACCACAAAGAACACACATAGGAAAAACGTTTCAGAGACAGTTAGTTGGAATCTCTTTAATCACTGACCAGCTCCTTAAATAGTGACTTAGAACATTTCAGAAGTGCAATTGGTATTCACGTTATTTTCCAATAAAAACAACGACAGCTAAAATGTACTGTGCACTTTCTGTATGGTACTGCTGTATTAAGGGCTATACATACATCATTTCATATCCTCTCACTAACCCTCTGAGGGAGGCTGTATCATTATCCCTATTTCACAAATAGGGAAACTGAGGTTCAGAAAGGCAAAGTTGCTTGCTTAAGATCACACAGCCAACAAGAGGAAGAACAGGACTTAAACCCATAGTCCTTGCTCTTGACTACTGAGCTCTTGTGTATGATCTGGAAACTGGATGCTGTGACAGAAACTGGCCCCTGGTATGTTTGAAATCTTGATGGGAAACAATGTGGCACGTTTTTTACTTTGAAGATCCCATGACTTTCTGGCTTATTTTTCTAGGAGGATAGTTCTTTGCTTAGAAGGTTTTTAGGTATGACCAAGCAGAGCAAACTACTACTCAATAACAATAGGATAAAGATGCTGAAAACAACTTAAACCCTTTATAAACGTCACCCCATTCAGCCCTCACAACCACCCCCATGAGGTAGATATGATTATTATTCACATCGTAAGATGAGAAAATTCAGACCTAAAAAGATGGGGTGATATGCCCAAGGTCACAGTCAGAAAGTAGAACACACTGTCTGACCAGAGTCCATCTGATGTCAGAGCCCTGTCCTTGGCCACTATAATCCCAACTGGAATCAGCAGACGGGAACTTCGGGAAAAATAAACTCTAGAGTTTATGTGAAGACTGGATTTGAGGCACACAAGCCTGGAAATAAGGAATTCTCTTAAGGTCCATGTTGCTTTATACTCTGAGAAAAGACTGCAGCTGTTTCCATTGCACCCCTAGGAGCTCTCCAGTCCTTAAATGCCATTCCACAAATTGGAAGAAGAAAACAAAGGCACCACATCAGGGGTCAGCAGACTACAGCCTGCAGGTTACATCCAGCCATCTACGTTTGTAGATAAATTTTACTGGAACACAGTCATGCCCACGATTTACATTTGGCTGCTTTTGTGCCTGAACAGCAGAGCTGAGTAGTTGCAACACAGACTCTATGGCTGGTAAAGCCTAAGATATTTACTATCTGGTCCTTTATAGAAACTGCCAACCCCTGGACTACATGTTAGAGAGCCTGATGTAAACAACTAGCCAGAGAAACAGCAAGCCCAGAAGTTCCAGGCAGAACAGGTACATGCTTCACCTCTCCAGTTGATACCTGACACACTCAGCTTATAACTGTGCTTTTCAAAAAAACGAAACAAAACAAAACTATATCCCAAACCAGTCAGCCCCTGCTTCTCAACCCCTTGACTCTTTACCTTCTAAAAGGAGCAGCGGCTGGGAGTCTTACCTTTGTTGTACATGTTCGTTGGTACTTGGACGTCACTTAGACTGATGTTCACAGGCAAATTATTAAAATGGTCATTTGGGGCTAAGATGAATTCCTTTCCCAGCTCCAAAAAATTCCCGTCTTTGTCCCTTTCATTTATCAGCACAGCATTGAAGTATTCATACTGAAAGACAAAGTCAACAAACATTACATGTGGCTTAGGGAAGAGGGCTGTGAACTCACTTAGACCTGGGCACAGGCCATGTGCCATCCCCTACACTGTGGACCCTGACCTGCTCACATAATCTTTTTATGTCTTATGTACTGTCCACGGCTGCTTTTGCATAGGTGAGATAGCATTATATAAATATTTTCCAATGTCACTAAATATTCCTAGAAAACATACATGTCAAGGGGCAACACGGTACTTCCTTATGTGCATATAGAGAAAACTGCCCTAAAAACGTTTTAATTCTTTACATTTTGAAGAGAGACCCTGACTTTATGCAGCCTGTATCAAGTTGAAGGAGGCTGAAAATCAACAACAAAAAAAATAACAGGTAAATATATGTCAGATCATCATGCTTGCTTTGGAAAAATAATACAGCAGGGTAAGGGGATTAGCAGCTTCAGAAGGACTGTGTGTTTATACATGGCATTTGGGAAGGTCTCGCCGCAACGGCAACACTCACATAGAGATTAAACGAGGGGAGAAATCCAGTGGTGTGAGCATCAGGGAAGCATCCAAGAAAGAACAGCAAGGAGAAAGCCCTCAAATGGGAGTGTGCTGGCATGATTTACAAAAGGCTATATGATCATCATCTCACATATATAGAAGGCTTACTTTGTGTCAGAAATTACTCTAAGTGCTTTTCATGTGTTAACTCATTTGATTCACCTAACAATGTTATGAGGTTGATTTTATGAGTATTCCTACTTCACAAATGAGGTCGCTTAGGAATAGAGAATTTATGCATCCTGCAAAAAAATTACACAGCTGATAAGGAGAGCCAGAATTCAAATACAGGTAATCTATCTTGAGTCTGTGCTTAAATCTACTGCATGAGATGGCCGATGGTAGGTGTGGGTGGAATTAACAGAGCAGAACCTTAAAATAACTACAATTAATATGCTCCAGAGGCTAATGGAAAAAGTGGATAACATGCAAGAACAGATGGGTAATATAAGCAGGGAGGTGGATATTCTATGAAAGAATCAATGTGAAACGCTAGAAATCAAAAACGTTATAACAGAAATGAAGAATACCTTTGCTGATTCATTAGTAGACTGGACACAATGAAGGAAAAAATCACAGAGGATGAAGATGTGTCAAAAGAAACTCCCCAAAAAGAAACGCAAAAAGAAGAGAAAATACAAAGGGAACAGAATATCCAAGAATTGTGAGACAATCACAAAAGGTGTAACATATGTGTAATGGGATACCAGACTGAGAAGAATGGAAACTGAAATATTTGAAATAATAATGGCTGAGTATTTTCCAAAATTAATGACAAAAATCAAGCTACAGATCAAGGAAGTTCAGAGAATACTGAACGCAATTAATATTACAAAGATTTACATCTACACATATCATATTCAAACTGTATAAAATCAAAGAAAAAGAGAAAATCTGGAAAGAAACCAGACAGAGGGTGGGATAGTCTTACCTGTAGGAGAACAGGGATAATGACTACATCAGCCTTCTCTTCAGAAGCCATGCAGGCAAGAAGAGAATGGAGTGAAACACTTAAAAAGTGTTCAAAGAAAGAACCATCGACCTAGAATTCTGTATCCCATGAAATTACCCTTCACAAGTAAAGGAGAAATAAAGACCTTCTCAGGCAAACAAAAATGAAGGAATCTGTTGCCAGTAGACTTGCCTTGCAAGAATTATTAAAGGTTCTTAAGAAGGAAAGAAAATGATATAGTTTAGAAATTGTCATCTGCAATAAGAAAGGAAGTGTTTGGCCAGGCACAGTGGCTCACACTTGTAATCCCAGAACTTTGGGAAACCAAGGCAGGAGGATTGCTTGAGCCCAGGAGTTCGAGAACAGCCTGGGCAACATGGTAAAACTCTGTCTCTACAAAAAAAAAAAAAATTAGTCGGGCAAATTAGTCGGGCGTGGTGGCACCCGCCTGTAGTCCCAGCTACTTAGCAGGCTGAACCAGGAGGATCACTAGAGCCTGAGTCATGATTGTTGTGCCAATGCCCTCTAGCCTGGGTGACAGAGTGAGATGTGTCTTATAAAAAAAAAAAGTGTTAGAGCAAGAAAAAATGAAGGTAGATATTTTGCTATTCTTAACTAATCTAACATATAACAGCTTGTTTAATACATTACTGTCTATGGACAAGTGAAATGAGTAATAGCCGTGTTATAAGAAACTGGAGGGAGGAATACTCTGTACTATGATTTGAATGTGTTCCCTCCAAAATTCAGGTGTTCCAATGTGACCATAGTAAGTGGTGTGGTCATTAAGAGATGAATAGGCCATGAGGGCTCCTCCCTCATGAATAGGATTAGATGTCCTTATAAAAGGGATTGAGACAGAAGGTCTGTCCCTTTTGCCATTCTATCTTCTACCAGGTGAGGAAACAACACTCTTCCCTTCAAGAGGATACAGTATCAGTGCACCATATTGGAAGCAGAGCAGCCCACACCAGACACCAAACATGCCAGCACCTTGATTTTGGGCTTTCCAGCCTCCAAAACTGTGAGAAAATAAATTTCTTTTCTTTATAAATTAAGAAGAATTTATAAAGTCTCAGGTATTCTGTTGTAGCAGCACAAATGGGCCAAGACACTCAGTTATAAGATACCCGCACTACACATGAAGTAGTGTACAGTTACTTGAAGTGAATTTAAATAAGTTGTAAATGCATACTGCAAACTTTAAGGAAACTAATGAAATAACTGTAAAAGGAAGCATAATTTATATGCTAAGAGAGGAGAGAAAATTAAGTCACATAATATGTTCAATTAAAACTAGAGAAGGCAGAAAAAGAGTAGAAGAAAGAAAAGTAAGAGAAGGAAGGAAGGAAGGAAGGAAGGAAGGAAGGAAGGAAGGAAGGAAGGAAGGGAGGGAGGGAGGGAGGGACAGCTCCTGTCTCTTATACACATCTAGCAGCTCATGAGCGAGTGACCTGGGGTAGTGAATAGAAAACTGTTACAAATATGGTACATATAAATCCAACTACATCAATAATCACCTTGAATGTGCATGGTATAAATACGTCAATCAAAAGACAGAGGTTGTCAGAGTAGATTAAAATAAAAGATCTAACTATATTTTTTCCATAAGAAGCCCACTTTAAACATAAAGATACAGACATATTAAAAGTAAAGAGATGAAGAAAGATATACCATGCTAACATTAATCAAAAGAAAGTGAGGGTAGTTGCTATCATAGTTAAAGATTTATATGCCCCTGTATCAGTAATTGACAGACTCAGGAGACAAAACATTGGTACGAATATAGTTGAAATGAACAACACCATCAATTGGATCTAATTTACATTTACAGAATACTTCATCCAGCAAGAGCAGAATACACATTCTTCTTAAGCATGTAAAGATGCTTGCTTGGAACATTCAAGATAGACCACATTAGGGGCCCTAAAACACATCTTCACAAACTTAAAAGAATGGAAATCATACAGTGTCTGCTCTCAGACTACAATGAAATTAAACTAGAAATCAATAACAAAAAAAAGATAGCTGAAAAAAAAATACCACAATATTTGGAGATTAGACAACATACTTTCAAAAGAATTCTCAAGATATTTTTCTAAAAATTAAAATGAAAATACAGCCTATCAAAAGGTGTGGGATGTAGCAAAAGCAAAGCTCACAGGTAAATTTATAGCACTGAACACATGTACCAGAAGAGAAAAGAAGATCTAGAAGCAATCATCTAAGCTTCTACATTAGGAAACTAGAAAAAGAAGAGCATATCAAATCTAAAGTAAGCAGAAAAAATGTATATTTTTTATTTTGCAAAGCAGAAACCAATGAAATTAAAAACAGAAAATCAGTAGAATCAATGAAACCAAAAGTTTGTTCTTTTTAAAGATTATTATAGTACAACGATCCAAATAAAAATTAACAAAGGGAAGGGGTACATAAGGCAAAGTCCTAAGGAATTCAGGTGCAAGCTTCCAAGAGTTCTGCCCCAGTGCAATCACACAGATTATACTTAATTCTTCTAGTAATGAGTTGTAATAAAACATTGGAAGTGGTGTCTAACAGAGACTCAGCACTCAGGATTTTACTGGGGGTTGGTCCTGTAGCAATACTACTTTCAAACTTAACCTAGTTAACAATTATAGAATTCCATACCTAACAACTGCAGAGCACACATTCTTTTCTAGATCATATATTGGGCCATCAAATAAGTCTCAATAACTTTAAAATGACTGAAATCCACATATTATGTTCTCTGATAATAATGGGCTAAATTTAGAAATCAATGTATGATATTGATATGAAAAATGTCACTGATATCTAGATTTTATTAAAAGATGATACCTGGAAATGGTCTAAAGATGTCGATATTAAACAAAATGCTTATTAATAATACATATGTCAAGAAAAAAATGACATGGGAAATTGGAAAATGTTTTGAAATTAATCATAATGAAAATAACATACAATATTTGTGAGATGCAGCTAAAGCAGAGCTTAGAGAAGAAGTTACACATTTAAAAGCTTATAATATAAAAAGAAAAAAATTTCAAGATAGTCTACCTTAAGATTCTACCTTAACAAGGTATTAAAAAGATGAATAAATGAAACTCAATGTTAAAAGAAGGAATAAAATAATAGAGGTAAGTACAGAAATTTAAAACAAAACAAATAACAGGAAAAAAAAATAATGCCAAAATTTGGTTCTTTAAAATAATTAACAAAATTATGAAAGTCTAGTTAGACTGATTAAGAAAAAAAGTAAGAAAGCAGAAAATACCAGTATCTGGGATGAAAGAGGAAACATTACTCTAGATCTTGCAGACAATGAAAGGATAAAGGAATATTACAAACAACTTTATGCCAATAAGTTCAATATCGTAGGTTAAATGTCAAACTCCTTGGGAGACAGAAATTATTAAAACAGATACAAGAAGAAATACAAAATATAACTGGTCCTAGAAATATTTCACTATTAATAGCCATGATAAAACAAACAAAT